CCACTATGCTACCAGAGCTCCCCATGTCCCTTTAGGGGGACAAAAAAAAAAAAAAAAAAGGCTCCACTGGGCCCCCTGCCAAGCTCCATTGCCTGTAAAAATAAAGAAGGCTTCTAAGTTAGGGAGGTTCCTTGGTGGCACACATAGTTTGAGCTTGACTACTAACCTGAATATTGGCCATTTGAACCCTCCCAGCGGTGCTGCAGAAGAAAGCCTGGCAATCTGTGACCCCAAAGATCATTGTTGTTAGTTAATTGCTGTTGAGTGGATTCTGACTCTTGTCAACAGCAAGAAAACCCTGTGGAGCAGATCTACTCCATAGGGACTCAACTCAAGGACAACGGGGTCTAAGTTAGGGAGTGTACATTGATCAGGACAAGTGTGGGGTGAGACTTTTGACGAGCCTCTTTGAATCAGCCCAGAGTGTAAAATATCCTCTAATCCAAGGGTTCTCTGTCTCCCATGGGCCAGTGGCTGGTGGCAGCACAGTGTGATGGACAGTATTACTTTGTGGCCAGGTGGTGGTGAGGAAGCCCCCACCCCCTTTCCGGCCTCTTTGTCCTGTTTAGTGCTGGACCTGGGGGCCTCTCTCAGGCAGCCAGGCTGGTCTTGACTCTGAGGTGAAGAAGTAAACATCTTGGGGCTCTTTATTAGTTTATTTCAGAAGATGGAGCCTGTTTGTCCCTGGGGCCCTTCCCCCTTTTATGGCCTGCAGCCCTTCTTGACAAATTCTAGTGACTGGAGAGAAAACCGCTTTCTACAACAGATCATTAAAACACCACCATAAACCTAGGGCCATAAAATATTATTTGCTGGGCATAAAAGCGGGTAGATTTTTCCCAGAATGACAACCTGGGCCCTGCTTTCTCCTGCTGGGCCCTGCTTTCTCCTGCTGGGAAAGGCGGCACAGGGATGCAATCGTTCATAAATTCCTTATCTTACACTGCTTCGTGAAATGACCCTGTTGGGAGAGCCGCTTAAAGTATTGATTTATTTGGTTCATAGACTCAAACGCATTTTTAATGAGTAGAGCATGGCAATGCCTTGCCAGTGTGTATTCAGATGACTCAATCTGTGTGCATGCACCCAAATGCACACACAATTTGCAAGGGGAAAATGTGGAGTCTCAGAGACTTGAGATCTCTTTAAAAAAAAAAACAAAAAAAAAAAAACCTTTGCAGCTTGAGAGGCATCAGTTTCACTCATTGCAACTGTCTGCTCATCTCCCAGCCACACCAGTTAACACTGGCAGTGGGGATTGCCTCTGACAACTGAGCCTGGGTTTCCAGGGCAGCCCCTTGACTGAAGGCTGAGTGGATTTCCAGTTGGTTGCCATCAACAGTTCCTCTGGAATTAATCTTTTTATTCATTCATTTATTCAATCATTCAATAAATATTGAGCACCTACTAAGTGACAGACATTGTTTTCAGCACTGGGGTTATAGCTAAGAACATCACGGATGAGGCCACGCAATCACGGACCTTACTGCATCTTAATGGGGCATAATCTCAGTGCACTCATTACTAATACAACCAGATAAAAGTCCACAATCTTGTGTATGAAGTCCTTAGGGCCAGATGGGTTTGGAATGGGAAATTTGGGGATTTTCTTAAAAGATAAAATGGGACACGTGACAACTTCATTTGCAACAGCTCCAATGAGGTCCGAGGCAGTACCCAGTAAGCAAACACATTAATATTTCTTCCATGAAAAGTATGAACATTTACCCCAAGTGGGAAAAATCAAGACCATAAATGCCCTTGTCATTTCTAGCCCAGTGTTGCAGCCAAAGGAGCATGAAAACCTGTTTTCAGAGCTGTTTTCTGTAGGAGATTAGGTACTGAGTACCAGGTAAGTGTCTTGACACTATGCTAAGTGTATCGATGGTCACCCTGTTTCATTGTCACTTATTTCTCTTTCTTTTAAAGAAAATTCTGAGGCACTGAGAGGTTAAATGGTTTGAGTTTTCACAGCTAGGAAGTGGCAGAGCTGGGATTGGCACTCTTGCAAGACCCTCCTCCAGAAGTAAGAATGAGAGCCAGCGCTCTCAACAACTACCCACCACCACTTTCCAGGACACAGAACTGCTGAGGCTGTGTCTACACAAAAGTAGTGGGAGAGAAGCAGGTAATTATCCAGATAATTTAAAAATTTTTTAAAAAATGATTTGTGGTTGAGTAGCTGTGATTTAGGAGCTCTGGTAGCATAGTGGCTAAGACACTTGCCTGCTAACCAGACAGCTGGCGGTTCAAACCCACCAGTCACTCCTCGGAAGGAAGGTTGGGCAATCCTATGAGTCAGGGCTGACTCGACGGCACACAACAACAACAACAACAACAGCTGTGATTTTGGACTGGCTGTTTGGGTAGAGCAAATCCTCACATTACCCACTCCTCTTTGCAGAAATATGCTCATCTGGGCGAACTGCCTCTGGACTCTGGCACTCTGGTGCAAAGTGACCTCAGCACCCTTTTTTAACTCCATTCACGGCTACCTCATTTCCAGCCACTTTTCAGAGTGGTCACACAGGAGCTGGATTCTTTGGAACAGGCCCAGGGGTATATGAGCTCTAACAGAGGAATCTCAGGATTTAGCCTCTGGACAGGAGAGGGAAGGTGGAGACCCTGCCACAGGTTAGATGGAAAACTGACAAATGCCCACAAGCCTTTAAGTGCCCAAGGCCCATCCAGGGTGTGGAGAAGGAGAATCAGGAGGTGAAGGGGAAACGCCCAAAGAGGAGCTTCAGGAACTTTGGGTTCCTTTTCTTTAAGACTGCGTGCATCCCTGGCTAAAGCGAGGCCTGACGGAGCAGGGGTATCCCTTGCACCTCGAAGTGTCCCCAACTGTTATTTTGGCACACCCAGCAAAGGAGGCTGAGGCTGGAAAGGGGTCCACTGGGTGGGGGCAAGTAAGGATCTGAAAGGGGCTGTGGAGGGAAGGTAGGGCAGCGGCAAAGGAGCTTCTCTTCTAGCACCCTGAAGTGATCAGCCACGGAGCTGATAAGGGGTGGGGGCGACAAAACGGCCACCACTCCAAAGTACCCAGGCCGCAAATTTTGTGCCTTAAGGTCAAGTGCGTGCCAGATGGGTGGCGGAAATGGAATCTCTTACGTTTGAGGGGCTTCCTTGTCAGAAGGCTGGGGGATGGGGAGAATCGAAAACAAGAATGAGGCTCCTGTGTGAAGCAGTGATTGGAGGTGGCCCACAACTACCAAACCGGTCCCGCTGGGCTTCCAACAACCGCGGCTCGTCTGTTTTTACGCGTCTGGAAGTTCCAGTGCCCGTATCCCTGTTTTGCCAGACTTCCCAGGCTTCTCACCTGAGGGCAATCGCCCAGAGACTACTGTGGCAGGACCTCGCGTCGTACCTGGATGCGGCGCTGGGTAGCTGACCTAGTAATTGCGCACCCCAGCATCCAAACCTCTACCCCATCCCCCAGCTCAGGGACCGACCTCCAGGGATAAGAGTGGCTAGGTGTCCTCGAAGTTCCACGCCTAGGCAGCAGGCCCGGTGTAACCCTAGTGCGAGCGGCTTGGGGCAGGCAAGCCAAGGGGTCCAGCTAGGCAAGTTAGGGGCTCAGCCTTATGCAGGTCAGTGGCTTTGAAAGGGGCGCAGACAGCGACGCAGCTGGCAGGCAGCGGCTGCGGAACAGACTCTCTCCGCAGATGCTTGGGGGATGGGGAGCCAAGAGAAGAGGGTCCAAGGTGGAGTGTACCCCGCCCCCCCGGCACCCCCGAGCCGGTTGTACGGCTTTAAAATCCTGTGGAGTTTGTCATAGGCCGGCCTCAGCACGCATGCGTATACGCAAAGTTAAGGGTTTCCCCCCCCCTTCCCTCTCACTCTCCAGCCGCCTTTAGTTCGGCAACTTTTTTTAAAAAAACATTTTCTGAGAACACCCGGGGAAAGAGGAGTCCAGAGAGAGGGAGGGATAGAGTGCGGCAGTTGGCCAGAAGGGCCGGGGGGTGGGTGGGGGGGACGTGGTCCTCACTGTCGGTCGGTCTGCGGGGCACAGGATCTCGTGGAAAGTTGCTACAAACTCGAAGGCGCTGCCTCCTCCGCCGAGGCCGGTTCGGTGCAGCAGCTGCGGAGCGAGCTCCTCTTGCAGCCGCCGTCGCCGTGCCCCGGACCTCTAGCCGCCCGCCTGCTTGCTCTCCCGCCCCTTGGGCCCCGGCGCCAAGCGAGAAGGTGGGCAGTCGCGCGGGCCGTGGACCGCCGGAGCTGAGCCGCTGCGGCGGAGCCCCGAGCCCTCGCCCCTCCCCAGCCCCGCGCTCGCGGTGCTCCAGATCCTCGTCGCTCTTCACCCTAGAAAGGCGGGGAAAAGAGGGGGATTAACCCGAAGAGAGAAAGAAGGGGGCGGGGAGGGGGGGAGCCAGCGTCTCCCCTGGGGCAATCGCCCATCGTCCCTTGGAACCCACCGCGCGGCCGAACATCCGGGGGCGGCTTACACCCATTTTGCGCCCCCTTTTTCCCAAACCCCAAAATGAAAGGACAAAAGTTGGCGTTGACTCTTGCAGCTCGGATGGCGACTTGTGCGTTTTCAGCGGCATCTCCCGGAGAAAAAGCCATGCGCTCCTGATTGTTTGGTGGCCCAAAAGCTGCAGTGGGTGTGTGTGAGTCTGGGTGTGTGTCTGTGTGTGTACACAGACGTCCACACACACACTCGCGGCCAAAGGATCAGCGCCTGGAAGCAGACTTTTCGGCCACAGACTCGGAGAGGAGGAGCTGGAGATTGGGAGGCGTGAGCCGCCGGGAGTTCGCAGAACCCTTGGTGAATGAACTGGGGGCACCTGGGCTCACGGATCACTCCCCCTCCCCCGCTGCCGCCCGAGGCCACAGTGGAATAGTGGGGCATTTTTTTCACCCTCTTGTGAAGAATTTTTTTTTTTATTATTTGTTGTAAAGTCTTTTGCACAATCACGCCCACATTTGGGGTTGGAAAGCCCTAATTACCGCCGTCGCTGATGGACGTTGGAGAGGGAGCGCCTCGCCGCGGAACAGTCGCCTGCGCGCCCTCACCGGACCCGCGGCTGGCTCCGTTCGCCTCGGCCGGGGCCTGCCTCTGCTACCCGACTGCAGGCGTCCGCACCCCCTCTGCTCCCGGGCACATCTCAGTGCTGTCCCAGCTCAGACGCCCAGGCCCGGGCGCCAGTGCCCACTTCAGGTTTGGTTCCTTGCGCTCGCCGGAGGCGCGCCAAAGGAGCCCTACGTCCCGCGCCCGTTCGTCCCCCCAGGCTTAACCCGGCCGCTCCGCTCGGATTCCTCGGCTGCCCTCGCAGGGGTGGCGACTTCCTCCTCGCGCCCCCTCCCCCTCGCCATGAAGGTAGGTGTTCAGCGCGTCGCCGTCTCTCGACACTTTTTTTTTTTTTTTAAATCTTTTACATTTTTTCCCCTCCCTTTTGGAAGTTAGTTGAATTTCATCACTTCTTCCTATCCCTTCATTATCCCTTCATTTCTCCAACCGCCTTAAAAGGCTGGAACTCCCGCGTCGCTGCTAGGGACCCCTATTCTTTCGCCTCCCACACCGCTCGCGCTGCCTCTGTGTCCTGGGAGATCTCTTCCCGTCCCACCAACAGTCCTGCAAACCTTTCAAAGTTTGGGGCAAATTCATGCTAAGAAAAAGTGGGGAAGAGAGCAGAAAGAAACCTGAGTGATTTTCTTTTGCTCTGAGAAACGCGAGTGTAATTTACCATGTATATTTCAGGGAATGGTAACGGAATGATAATTCAATTCAACAAATATTTACCGAGCGTCCACTGCGCGGGCACCGAGAGGTTGTGTGGCACCGGCTTGGAAAGGGGAAGGGAACTTCTCTGTTAGAGAGATCAGCTGTACGAGGGGCCAGCCACCCCGAGCAGCACCCTTCTTCATCCAGGCCCGATTGCAGGCTCGTCGTGGGCCCCGGGAATCGCAGCGCTGCAGGACCCTGCGCCTTTAAGAGTGCCTGGCTGGGGGCCAGCGCGCACCCCGGCGCGGGGAGCGGGGTCGCATTATTAGCGTTATTAGCCGCCACTGGGTGAGCTCGACACTTTGCAGCGGGGGTGGTGGTGGTGGTGGCTGTGGCTCTCATCCGGTCCACCATCAGAGCGCACCCGGGCCTCCTCCGCGCGGTGTCTGCCTTGTCCTTTGGAGACATTGAGGCCTCTGCTTAGGGAGAGTGGGTGGGGGGCAGTTTGTGAACTCGTGTTTGTTTTAATTGTCAGTTGTATGTTAAAGCCGAGTCACACACTCTGAAGGTCACTGGGAGTTCAGTTTTACAAAAAGTTAACCTTTTTTCCTGCAATGTAACTAGCTGTTTTCCAAACAGCTTTTCCTCTCTGTCGTCCAAGCTTCGACTCTTAGTTCCAATTTTCTTGACCTCTCTCTCTCTTTTTTTTTTTTCCCCTAGAAATTAACTTTAGGGTTGGGATTAAGTTGTTCCCTAAAAGCAACTAAAACTTACTTTTTTTCTTTTTTCGAAAAAAAGGTAAAACAAAACAACCCCAAAAGACATGGAGAATCCACGGCCCAGTTTTACTTTCCAGTCCTTGCCCAGCATCAGGGCCCTTTCTCTCTACGCTTTCTTTAAGTGGACTTACGACTATTAGGAAAAAACTCCCGGCCAGCGGCGGGATCGAACCTACCCAGCGCCTGCTCTTCTGCAGACATTTGCACATTCGCTGCTGAACCTGCCAGATGCGGAGCTTTGGTTTTCTGGACAGCCTCTGCCAGTTTCTAGAGGGCAAAGCTGAGAACGCACAACGGTGCAGGGACAGTCGAATATATGACTATGTGCCCAAGTGTGCAGACCTGTGCCCTGCGGGGGAGGGGTGTAAAGGATCAGCTTTTCTGGGATTCTGGGCAAACCGGCTTTTTAGGCTAACCTCTTTCTCTTCAGAAAAGGAGGAACCTCCCCAAACCTGACCTAGGAATCCTTGCCTTCGCTCCGCTCACCGATTCGCCTTGGCGCTCAAGGGGTTCAGTTAGTACCTTCAGCGCAGGGCTCGGGTCTGTTCGCGTTGTTTTTTCTTTCCCCGCTGTGCGGTGCCGGCTGCCCCCTGTTGGACGCCTGGAGGTAGGACGCCTCAGAATATCCTTTCCTTGGGGCGTCTCCAGCTGCTCCCCTCTCTGTGCCACTTTTGCCTTCCTTCATCCCCGCTACCATGCCCCACTCTTCAAGCTGGGCCCCTCGGAAACCCCTAGAGCACAAGCTACACCGCGTGGAAGGGGCCGTGGGTCTGACCCAACAAATGGGGTGCAGGCAACAGGGTGGAGGGTTGGTACCTCTTCCCTCTTGATTAGAAACTAGAGTATCACCCCAGGACCTGGTCCTGGCTCTCTCACCCCAAGTGTTACTTTTCCTCTCTCGGCCTCAGTTTCCTCTATTAAAAAGTGAGAGTTGAAGTGCTCTTTAAATTTATCTCTTTCTCTCCATGGTCACTCTGCTCAACCTCTGAACAGAGTTGAGCCTGTGTGGGGAGTCAGGCATCCTGTGTGAGAAGTTTTAAGTGATATGGGGAGGGTGGGTTGTTGGGGTCTTAAGAGCCTTGCCTAGGCATCCAACTTGCCAGGAAGCAAAGGCCATTCTTCTTTAGGGGCCTTCCTAGTCCCAGACCTGCCACCCAAGTCTGGGGAGGCCACAAAGTGCCCACATTCCATTGTATTGATTTGGGCTCATGGAGTGAGTGTATGACACACACACACACACACTCACTTACTCTGTTTCTTGGCCTTGTCACCCAGGCATGGAGCAGTTGTGGATCCCCTGCACCCTGGCAAGAGGCACTGGGAATATCAGCTCCTTTGTTTGCCTTCCCAAGGCAGACCTCCTCCTGGCCTAGGCCTAGTCCTGCACTTACTTGAGCTTCTCTCTGCCCCCCTACTCTCCCCATTTTCTGCGCTGGAAATCTGAGTTTGTAGCTGCAACTGAGGTTTTCTTCCGCAAGTTTCTCCAGATTTGTTCTGCTTTAGGTACATATGAGTGGGGAATAAAAAAATTCCCTTTCCTTCAAAAGTGGAGATGCTTCTTGGAGTTTCCCATCCTCCTTTTCACCATCATGAGTCCAGGTCAAACTCATATCTTCCACCTCATTTTATTCTACTCCACCAGATTTGGGAGGTTCTGGGTGCCTACAGACTAGTGGGAGGGGATGCCGAGAACAAGAGTGGCAGAAGCACTAGCCAAAGGATGCAGCATCTTGGCCTGGACCTTGGCAATATTTCTCTTTAGGGCTGCCTCAGAAGATGAGGGTGCTGCAGGGTTTGTACGTCCTAAATCCTCCCCCCTACTCCCCATTAGTCCTCTGACCGACATGATAGTTTCTTCTTCCTCTCCCCACCCAGTTGCTAGAGAAGGATTAGAAATACCATTAATCCAGTGGGAAACAGAATAGGGAGCCACAAACGTTGAGCTACTCTGGGCTGAGAACTAGGCGCGGAAAGCCCAACGCCCTCCGCACCCTTCCCCAGGGCTTGAACCTCTCAAATACTCCCTTCAGGGTGGTACACTAGGAACAAACAGGCTTCCCTGGGCCCCAAGTGTTAGAAACCATTTAGCCTTTTCTTTGGGAAACTCAGCTTCTGCTCAGAACTTTTGTTTTACCGCCTACATGACAGTTTCCCTAGAGGTTTCATTTCGTACTGTGTTTTCAAATCAGATCTCTTGAACAGGCAGCGATGTTTTCTCTTACAGCATGGGTATTTATTAATTAGTTCGCTTTTTTTTTTTTTTTTTTAATTTTTCAAACTTGCAGGGGTGCGCAGCAGATTGGGGTCAGAAAGGGCCAAGGAGATTTCCAGCAAGCGCGCCCGGGGTTAAGTGAAGACACGGAGACGCTACTTTGGAGGCCCTTGTCCAATGTCCTTTGAGACATCCCTGGCCTCTTCCTGGACCAGGGGTGACCCAAGTCAGGGAGACCGGATGGCCCCTCTCCCACTTGGTTTCGCCTCTGGGAACGGGTGGGCTCTCCTTGGGGGAGTCCGGAGAAGAGTGGGTTCGGTTTGTGTGGCTTTGCCTCTAACAAAGAGATCCGCTGTAATCCGCCGAATCTGTTATCAATTTCTCCGATGCCCGCGCCCCGCCCCACGGGCCCCGCCTGTCGGGAAGCTAGAAAAGTGCCAGCGGTCCTCGAAGATGTGGCCCGCCGACTAGGAAGCACGTCGGAGTGTGTGTGTGCACGCGTGTGACTGTGTGAATGTGCATGAGTGAGAGTGTGTGCGTGTCCGCGCGGCCTCTGTCGCCTTTGGGGAGAGTCGACTTTGTAGTCTGCTTGGGCCTCAGAGAGAGACAGACCCAGCGGCCCAGCCCTTCCCGGGAAGGAAACTTGACACTTCGGGTGGGGGTGGGGAGGAAGACCGTGCCTTCGCTCTCCTAAACTGGGGAAACCCCAGGTTTCTACTCTCCTAGATGAGCGCCTAGCTTTGCGGGCGCCTTGGGCACTACGGGGCCACAAGCGCGGAGCCCTAGTTAGCAGGCGCGGGGCACCACAAAAGCGTTTCCTCTCCGAGAAGCCCCGAAGTGTCCCAGCCAAAGGGACACATGAGGGGCGTCTCAAAGGGAAAGTCGTAGCGTGCTTCTTAGCCCCTTGGTGTTTTCCAAGGCTGCCTTGGTTCTCTTAATCCCTTCTACACGCAGGTTCCAGTCTAAGCCCTTCCTCTGGTCACCCAGAAGAGGCTCACCTTTTCTTTGCTGAGGAAGGGGCTTCCTTGGAACTGTGGGTGGCGCAGCGCGGTGGGGTTACACTTACCCGAGATGTAAATGGGAATTTTGGAAACCCGCTCCTCCCACCCGCGCCTGCTGCTGCTTTGCTCCGCAGCCGCCTACAGGTGGAGAAGTCACCAGTGGGGAGGAACGGCGGTCGCAGAAGCTTCCGAAGCTGCCTCCTGCCCTCGAAATCTTTCTTTTGATGTGAACTGTCGCTGCCATCGCCTGGCCCTCTGCGCCCTTGACTTTAGAGGCTCAGCGGTGGCGCAGAAGATAGCGCAAGGCTGACTGAGGGGATCTCACCAGCGCCAGCCTTGGCTTCGCCCAGCACCCCCATCTTTGGGGGCAGATCAAACGGAGTCTGCACAGGGCCAGAGAAGCCTGGATGGAGGGCAGGGTGGCAGTTTCCAAAGGCCAGGTTCACTGAGCCGAGATGGCGAAGTAGCCGACACCCCCATACTAGGACCTAGAGAAATTGGAGGCCCCTTGGCTCCCAATCCTTTCCCTGGCAGCTGCTGCCAGACGTGGGAGAGTGAAAAAATCAAGCGTTGCGGGGAGTGTGTGTTGATTGGGGCCCCGGGAAGGGATCCTTTCCGAGGACGGCAGGACGCAGACTCCCCTTCTCTTCTCTGGGATGCCGGTCCTTGGGGTACACCCATTTGGAAAGCTCAGGCGGGGGAGGGGACAGTATTTTCCAGTTTCTTTTGTTGGAAGAGTCGACCTCTATGCTCATTATCCTTTGTGCCCCCCATCTCCTTCTCCCCGCCCCAATCTGGCTGGAGAGCGTCCTAAAGGAAACCTGGACTGCCTTTCCCCATCTGGAAGTGGCTTTCCCCAAATCGGCCCGTAAACTGATTATGAAACATACGATGTTAATTCGGAGCTGCATTTCCCAGCTGGGCTCTCTTGCTTGCCTGTCCCCGGGGCCTCGCCCCCCACCCCCTGCCCTTCCCTCCCGCGTCCTGCCCCCCCCCCCACCCCGCGCCGGCCACCCCGCCTCCTCTGCAGCCGCTGGCGCGCTCCACTCGCCTTCCGCGCTCGTCTTGCCCATGGAATTAATTCCGGCTCCACTTGTTGCTCGGCCCAGGTCTGGGAGAGGACTAGGGTGGCAGCGGGTTCCGAGTGAATTCCCGAGGAGGGACCGAGTGCAGCGTGAACTAGAGGGGAGCGAGGGGGTGCGGGACGCATGCAAGCAGGAAGGAGGCAGCGCCTGGCACCGGGGCATTGACTCAACAACATTGAGACATGTTTGTAATCGCTGGCGTGCCCGGTGCTCAGGATCCCAGCGAAATCATATTTCCTGGTGAGGTTGCGTGGGTGGATTAATTTGGAAAAAGAAACTGCCTATATCTTGCCATCAAAAACTCACGGAGGAGAGGCGCAGTCAATCAACAGTAAACTTAAGAGACCCGGATGCTTCCGTTGTTTAAACTTGTATTCTTGAAAATTATCTGAGAGGCAATAAACATCTGCTCCTTTCTTCCCTCTCCAGAAGTCGATTGGAATATTAAGCCCGGGAGTTGCTTTGGAAACGGCTGGCAGTGCAATGTCTTCCAAGTTCTTTCTAATGGCTTTGGCCATATTTTTCTCCGTCGCCCAGGTTGTAATAGAAGCCAATTCTTGGTGGTAAGTTCACTCTATGTGCATGTTCTTCTTCTGCCTTTTTTTTTTTTTTAAGATTCATTTGAATAATGCTGCAATATTTAAAGCATAATAGTGAGTTTAGGATGCATTTATCACACACACATGTAGAGAGAGAGAGAGGTATATAAGATTTTTTTTTTAATTTGCTAATATTGTAATGCTTATCTTCAGCTCCATAGGGAATTGACACGTATAAATCTAGGCCTTTTTCTGTGAGGCTCTTGTTCGGATGGCTGCTAATAGTACATCAAATAATAAGAGGGAACAAACTTCTCTAATAATTGTAAACCTATCCATAAAATTTACTTTTTGCCACCTCTGGGTAGTAAAAGTGAGTTTCAACTTTTATTTTCTGTCACTTGAGGTTATTAATCTATAGGGTCTGAAGTAGGCAGAGTTCTAGGAAAACAGCTAAACTCCAAGGGGGGAAGTATTTGCACTTGAAATTTGATCAAAGAAAGGTTAACTTGAAGTAGTCAAATGTCTGTAAATGAGAGTTTCTTTTTGCTATGGGCTTTCTAGATAGACTGTAATATATCCGGAGGATTATTTTTGACGGTGTTCTGGATATTTTTGCCCTGTAAATGAACAGCATTTTTTTCTGACTGTCAAACGTGACTTCTGTTCACTGGATCCTCTGTCTTGGATCCTTTATACTCACATAAGGAACCCTTTTAAAATGTCCAGAAACAAGGTGAATTTTCTTCAGTCTCTATATATATACTTGTCTCTCTGTTCTTCCATCCGTCAAAAGTAACTGCCATCTTCTACCCATATCTGACTGTGTCTACTTTCGGCATTTGTATAGTTTCAAGGCACATCAGTCTGATTTGTGGGACAAAGTGAGTCACTCTAGCTAATGCTAGAGGCCTGTCCCTGAAACTGCCATTCCCCTTTTTCTGAGTGGATTTCGGGAATATTGGTTCAGGTATATGGCCACAGGGATGAGAAAGGGAGCGAAAGCTCTAACCAAGGAGCCAGATGGCGGGATGGAGACTGCACAATACCTCCGTTTTCTAAGTTGAGTTTGAACAGAGGAGTTTTATGAAGCCCTCCTCATACTTTGTCATGAGGACAAGCAAGAGAGAAAAAGCATCTGTGTGCTTAAAACCATGTATTAGTGACAAACATTCAGGGGCCCACCTCAAGAGTTCACGTAAATCTTGAATGCACATCTCCCCCCCCCCTTTTCAGGTCACTAGGTATGAATAACCCTGTTCAGATGTCAGAAGTATATATCATAGGAGCGCAGCCTCTCTGCAGCCAACTGGCAGGACTTTCTCAAGGACAGAAGAAACTGTGCCACTTGTATCAGGACCACATGCAGTACATCGGAGAAGGTGCAAAGACAGGCATCAAAGAATGCCAGTATCAATTCCGACATCGAAGATGGAACTGCAGCACTGTGGATAACACCTCCGTTTTTGGCAGGGTTATGCAGATAGGTAGGAAACCGTTTCATGTTAAAAAAAAAAAATTATATATTTTTTTCTCCTAGAAAAATTCTTTAGAGTTTAGTTACATACTTGATTTTGAGGGTACCTTCCAGCTTGCATAATGAGTTTGGGGATTTTTGTCATTATTACTTTTGATGTTAATTCTGGTCCCTACACTTGATTATAAGTTTTGGTCTTCTTTAATCAAATCAAGAGAGCTGGATCACAGACACCTTCATTTTTATGAATGTTTAATTCTTGTAAAAAGCATTTGGTTTAAAATAGACCTAGAACATGCATTTGGGTATCTCAGCAGTGGCTGAGTCATTTATACTCTTTTAAACTTCAAAACTCTTGATTTTCTGAAGTTTCTTAACATAAGCCACAATTCACATGGCTCAAACATCAAGCTGAAAATTGTCATCTTTCAGAATATTGACTATATTGGAAGTGAAGGAGGCTTTATTTTTCCTAATAGAGACATTTTGAGATACATATCAAAAGGAATTTTAATTAGGAGTTATCTAGTTTCCATTTCTGATTTTGATAATTGATACAAATGCACATGGGAGGAATCTCAACCCATGAATTAAAAAATAAATAAATAAGAGTATACTGCTCACAGTTCAATTCTTGATTTTAAATATATTTTGAACTTGTTATTTGTTTGAGGAAGATGATAGCATTAAAACTGGGATAAAGGCAACACCTTTGAAAAATTAGTTTGCCTGTGGTTTCATTTAATAGTATAGGATGCAATACTATTTGACAGATGTGGTCCTAAGTGTGTTTTCTAGTGTGAATATTTTAGATCTCTTTACTTTTATGCAAACAAGCCCTTATAATTAATATGACTGCTGTGACTTGTAAAAGAAGAAGTAATTTATCAAAGTAATTAACTGTTTATAATGGGTGCAGATAAAAAGTTGGCTCAGTATCCATCTTGGATGGATAAAATGCTCTTTTAAAAAACCTGAAATGTGCATTCACTGAGAACAAAAAAGAGTTGTCAGTGGATGTCTGAAGCAACGGCTTCATAAACTAAAATAATACAGGAGTGGAAGCCGTTTCTCTAATTGAATGGGAAAATGGTCTGCAGCCTCAGCCCTTGAGGTTTCATAGGGCTTTGTCCTATCTGTTAATGATTAAAATGTGCTAATGTATATTCTGGAATCTGAATCTAGAAGTTAAGCTTCAGATACACAGTAGTGTTTTCTGACTATGGACCCTCTTAAGTAGTTAACTGGAGGTTGTCCTGAGGATTTCATTTTCCTGCATTTTGATAGAGTGAGTGAGTAAAACTTTTTTTTAAGCTATATCAGAATGGTAAGTTGTCAGCTTTCCCCCCTTCATCCCTGCCTTATGTGTTCATCCTAAACTACCTTCCTCTCAAACGATGGGATGTCCTTTATCACATGTACATGAGTTAGAAAAAATCATATATCTCTGATGGTAACCAGGAAGGAAAACAGCAATGGGAACTGTTTTTCCTCTTCTTGTCTTCATACGTAGCCTGTTGGGGGCCAAAATGTTCAGAATAAGCTATCATTTGCTAAGTGAATTTGAGTTCTGCTGGAGATTTATTTAAAATGCAGTCCAAGATTCAGAGAGCCAGCTTCCTCAGGGAACAAGTAGAATCCTTGGTGCAAAGGCCTGTACTTAATCGTCCCTTGCAAGTACGCTCTCAGGTCCTCAGCTCTGTGGTATAACTGTCTGGGTTCTTGGGAAGTGGGTGGGAGTGGTGCTTCCTGGTGGTTTACAAGGAAGCCCTCCCAGATCCTCTCGTCAAGTCAGCTGCTGTCTTGCGAAGATGAGAGCACATGTAGCAGTATCCTTGCCAAGGGTTCCCCAAGTGCCTGGTGTTTCAGAGCTGAAAGCTGCTGCTGGTGCCTGGCGGTGGGACACCGATGGGACTTTATCTCTTTTATTTATTTAAAAAGGCAATGGAGAGAAGGAAAACCAGGCTAGATCTTTATGGAAGAGGTATACAGACTTAATCCCAATTGTGGGGGAATTCCCCTCATTTTTACTTTTCCATATAGCGTATGTTAGAATAGAATGAGCTAAGGGAAAATTTAAAGTCCTTCGATGCTGAAAGGTGTATTGTGTGTTCACCCCAGAGCATTTAACTCACCAGGAACAATGAAAATAATTCTTCTCTGCAAATCTGACTCTGTAATGGGGGCGAGTGTCTGAGAAACTCAGGCTGACACTTCCCACCCCTCCTCAACTCATTGTCCAAGGTGCTCATTGCCTTAGAGGCACCGTGCACAATTGCTGCTTGAAGGGCCAGCTCACTCTTCATTCTGGAAACTTTCTCATTTTTCATCATGCTTCCAGCTTTTGTCCCTTCTCTTCTTTGTTTTTGTGCTGTGAAAAGATATGTAAGAAAGGCACCATATCTAAGGGATGTGAAGACCCAAGTAGATGTAGATTTTATACAGAGGGAAACCTAATTGAATTAGTGATATTCTAACCAGGATGACTGTATTATACACAGGCTATTATTCCAAGAGTACTTTTCAAGCTGACATTTTCCTTGCCGTAACCGGTTGGTTCAGAGATTTCTACCAGGTTTGTATTCTGGAGCTAAAAAGGGAAATGCTCAATGTAGACTTATGAAAAAAGCAACATTATTTTGTTTTGTATAAAAGCCCCTTTTTGCTTTGTATATATTTTCCTCCTTCCCCAGAGGATGGCTTTGTCTCCTCTTCCTCTAGCTACAACCTCTTTATTTTGCAAGACTCCAAGCAAGGGCCACAGCATTTTCTGTATTATCAGTGTTAATCCTATAATAACTCCCAAGAACCTGTCTGCTTTCTTCATTTCTTTCCACTCCTTTGACTTTCTCTGCCTCTCTAATTCAAGCTAGATAGATGGAACGTCCCACAGGAACTTTCTGGATCCTCTTGCCAACCACCAGCACACTCCTCAAGTTATTCATTTTTAAAATGAATGGGATCTGTGGTAAATCGGAACCATGGCCTTTCCTGGAAGGGGGATTCACAAATGGGTGTGGATTGAAGTGTGGAACAGAAGTCCAAGAAGGGCTTCCTGCTGAATACTGACTTGGCATTGCCCTCTTCCTGCAGAAGGACCCTGTGGTTAGGGCTGAGTCCATAAGCTGTCTGGTGTATCCTTCCCCTTCCCCACTCCCCAGAAATAATCATTATTCCCAAGCCCTTGAAGTAAGAATAGGAGAAATAGATTGTGGTACAGAGATTTCAGTGCCAGAAGAGGTCTTTCCTCCCCAGGCATCCAGTTCATACCCTTATTTTACAGCTGAGGAACGTGAGGCCCCTGAACCCCATGCCCTAGGCCCAGCTTTGATTGCCCTGGCCTTCACCGTTTCTCATAGTACAACTTTTTGATTAAGTGACATGTAGAAATGTCCCCACATTTAAGGTAATCTGTCCTTGCCTCTGTATTTTCCATTACAAATAAGGCTTCTATAACTGCTTTACAGACAGATACTCTTTCTGAGTTTTGAGGAAGGAGAATCCTTTTTGTTTTTTTCCCTTAGGTTTGCTTTTTCGATTCTTGTTGTCATTCTAACGCTTAAGGCAAAAGCTATTGGGGATTGCAGAAGTGGCATTAAAGAGCAACAGGCTGTTTCAAAAATAGTCACTCGTGTTCTTGAATAGGGAGCTCTGGTAGCATAGTGCCTAAGGCACTTGACTGCTAACCAGAAGGCTGGCGGTTCAAACCCACCAGCCACTCCTCAGAAGGACGGTTGGGCAATCTACTTCTGTAGTGATAACTGCCCAAGGAGGGGTCGCTATGAGTCGGGTCTGCCTGCCTCCAGGCAGGTAACAACAACAACAGCATTCTTGAATAAGAAGTATGAGGCCAGTCAGCTTAAGATTTAAGAAGAGGCAAGTTTCATTTGTAATTCTCTGGGACCCAGTGTGGAAGCTAATGCTAATCTTGGAGAGGACTTCATGCTACATAATGGAAAGAGGAAGAAAGGTTACAACTGGCAAAAGAGGATGGGGAGGCAAGGCTGAAACTGTGGCTGTGGGTGGCCAGTATCTGGGTGAGATTAGGGGCCTGAGACTTTCAGAGGCTCTGAGTCTCCCAAATTCTGTGGTTCTCTCCCAATACATAATTCCCAATGAAATGATCCCTAGCATTAAAGTAAGTGTAAGGAAGGTCACCCAAATTCTGAGTTGTCCCTCAAAGATTCCTTTCTTGTGCATTTTTGGAAATAGGAAGTTTCGAGTGTTTTTAAGAGTTTGAGAGAAAGAAAACCAGTCTAGGAATCCTGCCTCAGTCTCTGATATATCAGAGCAGAGACACCAGGGCTCTGCTACTCTTTCATTGTTGCTTCTGTGTGTTTTGGGGGTTATTTTTTGCTTCATGTCAAGGTAGGACCATGGCCTGGGTGTGTGTTCTGGGGGCCCTCCTTGTTTTCCCCAAGGAGGCCCCTGGAGCAGCAATGTGGGACAGGGCTTTCCCTGCCCTCCCCCGCTTCCAGAGACTTCGTGGTTTGGCATGCCTCCGTGTCCCCCCAACCCCAGGAGGGCTCAGAAGTGTGTGTAGCAGGCCCATCCAGTGGGGCCCAGGGGTGGCGTGTGGGCAGGCTCCCCCGATGACCCTGCCTTCTCGCCCACAGGCAGCCGCGAGACAGCCTTCACGTATGCGGTGAGCGCCGCGGGAGTGGTGAACGCCATGAGCCGAGCGTGCCGCGAGGGCGAGCTGTCTACCTGCGGCTGTAGCCGAGCTGCTCGCCCGAAGGACCTGCCGCGGGACTGGCTATGGGGCGGCTGCGGCGACAACATAGACTATGGCTACCGCTTTGCCAAGGAGTTCGTGGATGCACGGGAGCGGGAGCGCATCCACGCCAAGGGCTCCTACGAGAGTGCCCGCATCCTCATGAATTTGCACAACAATGAGGCGGGCCGCAGGGTGAGTGTCTCTATTCTGTCTCTGCCCCTCGGCCTCAGTCCAGGCCTCTGCCCCCATCTCTTTGCCCTCCCAACTACTCCAGATCCCTCTCTGTCCTGCCCTCTGTCATCTCCCTCTCTTCATCTATCTCTTTCTGTCTCCTGCTCTCTTTCTGTGGCTGTCTCCTTTTCGTTTTTTCTCTCTCCCTGTCTCTGTCTTCCTCTCTCTTTCTTTCCCTGTTCTCCTTCCCCATCTCTTCCCTCTTTTCTTTCTTCAAGTGGTCTTACCCACCCACAGGCCTCCCTGGAGGGGGTATGTACCCAAGAAAGGTGGAGAGGAATACTCCCACCTTTGCGCCCTCCAGCCAAGGTGCCCCAGCAATTGCCTGAGAATTAGTCCCCAGTGCAAAATGACCAGCAAGCTCAAAAATAAAATATTAATAACTTTATCCTTTCTCCATGGAACAGGTATGCGGTTGGGTTTAAATTTCTGAGAAGGAATTGTTTATCCCAGTAGTGCCCAACTGAGAAAGCCCTTACCCCTGCTTTCATACTTTACTTTTTCACCTACTTTTTTCATCCTTGCTCCTCCTAAAGTCCTAAGATTAACGACATAAGGGCCTGAGTGTGTGTATATTTTAAAGGTCTTTTCTAGGAAAATTCCAGCATTTTTAGTAGTGTGGAATTTTATAGCTCTGACCCTCAGGCCAATTGCAGGGTAACTCTGGAGAGAAGAGAGAATATCTCAGAATTGCGCAGAGAAGAAGGTCTTGCAGCCACCATGAGCCTCCCTGTTCCTGCTCTTTCCTTTTCTGATGGGGATATGAAAAGCTTCTCCACAGTAGTTACAGACACCCGTTTTTTTTCCCTGTGGTCAAACACATGGCACTTGACGGCTGTTTTAAAATGAAGGGGTGAAGGCTTTTCTTAGCTTTGGCAGCATCAAAAACCAGGAACATTATTTTTTCACAGAACCCAAGGTAGGTGCCAGTAACTTTCTAGTTGAAGGCTTTGCTCTTCAGTATTTTGGGATGAGGAAAAGGGAAGATAATCACAGAGTAACAGATCGAGGGCTGGAAGGAGCCTTGAAAGCCTTTGGTTCCATAGCTTCATTTTAAAGATTGGGAAACTGAGGCCTAGAGAACCACATCATGGCCATGAAAGAACGTTCATAGGTTTAGGTATAAGCCCAAGCTGCTTGTTCTAATTAAACCATTGCATCACAGAGGAGACAGAAGCTGAGGGGTACAGGGGTATATAGGCTTTGGATGAAGGGAACTCGAGACTAAATCTAGCTGTTTCTCTTCCTTTCCATCTCTGTGCTTCTGTTTCCTCATCTGTTAAATGGCAGTAACTACTCCTCTGGGTTATTGTGAGGACTAAATGGGAACACGTATTAGGTTGAACCATATGAAATGGTCAGTATTTGACTGTTTTTGACATACAAGCCAGTAGTTTAGTGTCAGCCAGTTGTAAGTGCTTGATAAATGATAACTTAATTATTAAATATTACAAAGCAAAGGGCGTGGAGAAATCCTGGATTATCTAGATAACTCCTGCTAACCTATCTTCTCAAATTTGATGTTAAACTTTGGGGGCTCTTGAGAGAAGATGAAACAGCAGGTTTTTCCCAGTGCTGCTCTGCAGAGTCAGATAATTGCTCATCCTTTCATTCTGTCCACCTGTGAATTCACAGGGAGTGTGGCCGCCTCTTTCCCTGGCTTCCCATTGCTGTGATACCTGCAGTGTGGGTGGATGTTTTCCCCCTGCCACCCCATGGTGGGATTGTCAGCCCCTTTGCTCCCACAAGACCTTCCTTTCACCCTTACCAGAGGCACGTTGTTCTATGTGTGCATAAGATGTGCATAAGACTAGAAGTGACTCCATTGCAGAGATGGGGCTGACTCTTCTGTACCTCACCCCTCCCATCCACCTTTGGGACTTCTTTGACTTCCCTCATATAGAGGAATCATTGCAGACTTGGTCACCAAGGAAACAGGGTGAAGGGATTTCCAAGTGGCAAGAGGAGATTTTGGAATGCTTGAAAATTCCATATAACATCTGTATTTTAAAAAATAGTTATATATATATATATATA